TAATGATCAATCCTTTCGGGTGATTTTATCCACACACTTTTAATGCTCAGAAGCTTCTTATAAATTATTGAAAGAGCTTTAGTGCTTGGATTTACAGTAGAGGCAGTCGGGCCTAGTGCGCAGGCGGCAATTTTTTTTGAGTCGGCAAAATTTGGAAATTAAGAAAAAAATATTTTTATACATAGAACCAGTATATAATGCGTGATATTTTTTTGCAATTAAATGGTTATTTTAATTTTATAAAAATGAGACATAACTAGCTGTAAGTCGAATTCTGTCTTGAGGCAATTATGCATCGTGCCTTAAGGCAAATTGCTGGAACTTCCCGTACCGTAACGAAATATTCGAGGAATACTAAATGTTTTCAAATAGATTATTATAAATATTGTAAACATTGTCTAATATTTATAAGAATTATACAAACTGAATTGCAGAGTTGAAATTATTTGTAAAGTATATTAGAACTATAGTCAGAATTCAAAATAAAATCTGAAATATTTTCGATATACACAAAACTAAAAAAAAAAAAAAAAACTAGAACATAAAAAAAAGGGAACAAATTTTTTTTCCAAAATCAATTATTTTGTTAAGACAAGCAGAAAGTTCTTTGAATCATTTAAATCGGACGCTTAGTTCTCTCAAAAACTGCCATTTTTTACATATTTAGCTCCGTATCTTCAAAATGGCTGGGCCTGCCTTTGCCAAAAACTAATAAACACTCCTTCCAATCATTACTAATTGAATGTTTTTTAGATCATTCAAATCGGATACTCCGTTCTCTCAAAAATTCAATTTCTAATTTTTGCACTCTTTGCTCCGTATCTCCGAAACGGCTGGACCTGCCTTTGCTAAAAACTAATCAGCTCTTTTCCCTATCAATAGGAATCGAATGTTTTTTGAACCATTCAAATCGGTTGATCCGTACGTCCGAAAAAGTGGGCGAAAATTTGTATCCATACATACATACACACACACACACACACACACACACACATCCATTTTTTCTGAAGTATGCCAAAATGTTCAGAAACCTTCAAAACGTCGAGAAATGTAAAAATTTTCAATTCCGATTTTCGGCCCATTACAATAACTTACCCTACGGGAAGTTAAAAAATGGGGCGGCATTTTCGTCAGTGCCTTATCGTGCCAAATTTCTCAATCCGGTCCTGGCTGGAGTTAAACCCTTTATCAACTCCTTCTGTTTAAGTATATTACATAAATATGATGTGTTACGCTCGCGTAAATCCTCGGCCTCATAGATAAAAAGATTATAAGCTCGGCATCCTCACATTTTTCAATAATTTCACGCTTTATTTCAATAGACCTTGTCTTTAAAGACATGGTTATAAAAGTACATAATATTTTGTAAATGTACAAAAAGCAACATATAGACTCAACATATAACTGTGCAATCACTATTACTTATGTCAAAACTTTAATATAAGACTTAAATTTGACTTAAAGACAAGACTTTAATATAATCCTTTATATATTCGCGTGGGTACATGTTACTATACCATAAATAAATAACCATTACTTATAAATAAGCATGGTTACTAGCCATGTCACTACTAAGGTAACCGGAACCATACGTCCCAGTTCGGCCGGGACAGTCTTGAATTTCCACTTTGTGTCCGGGGCTTTTCTAAGAGTAATATTTGTCCAAGATTTAGATCTTTTATCCGGGATTGTCCCGGGTTTTGGAAAATTATAAGTTAAAATTGAATCTTTACAATTATTTGATAATAAAATTACAACTACAGCTTACTCCTTACTCTGCTATGCTAGCAGACTAGGATATATAGAGCAAGTATGCTAATGAGAAAATGGTCAATGCAAAATTTCAAAGGCGGGTTAAAATAGCCTCTCATATTAAAAAATTCGAACATTAATTTTCGAATTCACAAAAATTAACAAAAGTTATGAAAGCTAATAAACGAGTGCAATTTTTTTTCAAGTTAATTATGAAGAAAATTGAATAGCATTTTATACAAATCGAAAAATATAAGATATATTTTAGCATTATAAGTAAAAAGAGAGTATAACATGTAATCGAATAATAAAGTTGTTATTAAGAGTCCACAATTCTGATTCAAAAAAATAATTTATTTTTTAAAAAAACTGTTACTCAACAGGAATTCCCTACCCCCAGGCACAGTTTGCCGTCCCGATTTTGACTTTAAAAAATCTGGTTACCTTATTACTTCACAAATAATTAATGATGAAAGCCAAAATATTTCTATGATAAGAAAATTATTGTTACAACCTACGAAATGTTTCATATTTTCATTTTCCCATTAACAAGTTTCTTCACTTGCTTCAAGCTCTCACTCACTCAAGAAAGCTCAAAGCTCGTATCTTATCAAATACTTGTTTATCTATGGCTCAAAGCTCGTATCTCGAATTTTCTCGTATGTCGAAGCAATGATCGCCTCTTTGGCGGCTTGTATCTCAAAACACTTGTACGTTGGGGTACCACTCTTTTTTGCTCCTGGTGTGAAAATTTGAAGGTGAAGAAAGCAATATTTCCTATCATCGAAAAAATCTCGAAACTTTTATTTATTTCAGTTCCTAAACATTTGTCATCATATAATAAAATCTGTTTCTCTGAATATTTTAGAAAATTAATAATAAGTTCATTCTTCAACTAAGTCCATTAGCTCTCTCATCTAAATTTTAAATAAAATAGTTTCCTCAATGTGTAACTATATCGAGAATTGCTCATCCATTGAATTTTTCCTCATTTACTAAAACTTACTGTAAGATAGGAATGTGTCAATTGTATGACGAATTTAATAACAATAAGCCTTTAGAATATATGTTAGAAATAAAAACAGTTTGGTTGAAGTTTCCTGTACGCAGTCCAGAGTTGTCCTCTGCTCTCTTTGTAAATACTGCAGGCTGCATGGAAGCGAGGGAAGCGAGTAAGCGAGTTTTACCCGTCAAGGTCAATTGCGCCTTGCGCCCCGTTCGTGCCGTTCGTTTTTCACTTTTCGCTCTTCGCCTGTGTTCGTGTTCGTGTTCGTGTTCGTTGGTGTTCGTGTTCGTATTCGTGTCCGTGACAGGCGCGCGTGTAACGTTCTGTCAAGTTGTCAACTGTCAAAGCGAGGAACAAAACAGAAAACTAGGGACGCGTTATTATTGATTAATATTCGGTTTTAGTGTCTTGGGTATGTGCATCAATTGATCATGTTTATCCGTAGAAATCGTTTGGTTTCGATTGATGTTCTATCGAGCATGTAGAGACGAGGCGAAACAACTACGCGAAACCATGTAACGTAATACGAACGAGGCATTCTCACAGATGTCCATCTTACCTTGTCTATTGTTATCGTCCATGGGTTCTATCAGATATGCAGACAAACAAGCAAATGCCTGCTGTGTCTGGCGCGAAACAATGTCGCAAAAAGGTCACTGTGCTTCTGCCAGATGAAAACAGGGCTAAGGCCACAGCTAAAAAGCGATCGCACAAGCCCCTGATAGATGTTCCCAGGGAGCTGGCACGTACCAGGGATGAAGGGCTCGAACGCCTCGATTTGGGAAAGTGTGATCTCACAGCCCTACCGCCCGCTGTGGGATCTCTCAAACATTTATCAGAGGTCTATCTGTACGGAAACCGAATTCATCGCTTACCAGGAGCTGTGGGTAACCTACAATCATTAGAAGTATTGGCAATGAGTGAAAATCGTCTCACTGCATTGCCAGATTCTCTAAGCAAATGTAAACGTTTAAGAGTTCTTGATGTTCGCCATAATAAACTAGGAGTTGTTCCGGATGTCGTATATAATTTATCTTGCTTGACTGACTTATTTTTAAGATACAACCGTCTACAAGAAATCAGCCCTGATATAGGTAAGCTTACCAATTTAACGATGCTGAGTTTAAGAGAAAATAAATTGCAATCTTTACCTGATACAATCGGATTGCTGGTCAATCTTGTCACTTTAGATTTGGCTCATAATTATTTGAAATCTATTCCTGATGAGCTATGCAATTGTTTTCGGTTACAAACCTTAGAACTCAGCCATAATCATTTAACTGAATTACCTGATGCCATTGGAAGACTTCGCAGCTTATCTCGCTTCGGAATTCGTTATAATAAATTCAAATCAATCAACATAGCGATTACTCAATGTACTCTATTGCAAGATTTTAATATTGAGGGAAATGCTGTGACTAATCTTCCTGGTGACTTACTTTCGAGCCTGAACCAGCTAAGAAGTATATCGTTGTCAAGAAATTTATTCACTGAATTCCCTCCAGGTGGGCCGGGCCAGTTTACCAGCTCTCTAACATCTGTGAACTTAGAACATAATGAAATATCCAGAATTCCATATGGGATTTTTGTCAGGGCAAAGAATCTCATCAAGCTCAACATGTGTGAAAATAAACTTACATGCGTTCCTGTGGATTTTGGACAGTGGACCAGCTTAATTGAATTAAACTTGAGTGCCAACCAGATCTCTAAATTACCTGCTGACATTCATCTGTTAGTCAACCTAGAAAATCTTATCGTTTCCAGTAACAAATTGAAAACCTTACCTCCAGCCATTGGTGCTATGCCCAAGTTAAGAGTGTTAGATGCCGAAGAAAATCTATTGACTGAAATTCCACCTGAAGTGTTTCATGCCACTTCACTACGACATGTAAATCTTAGCTGTAATCAACTGACGTCAATACCAAGAACGGTAGGCTGTTTGAAAAATTTACTTGGTCTTGGGCTGGGGGAAAATAGATTAGTTTCTTTGCCCGAACAGATTGGTGCATTGCACTCATTGCATACCTTACTAGTCAATGATAATCCTACACTACATGTGCTTCCTTATGAATTGGCACTCTGCAGCAGTATCCGCGTCCTGAGCCTGGACAATTGCCCTTTGTCTAGCATTCCCGCCGAGATACAACGTGCTGGTGCTACTGTTCTCATTCGTTATTTGTGGTTGCAAGGACCATACCGAGATGTACCTGGCCGAGATTGGGACCGAAAAATATATGGATCAGTCGATTCATATTTGTCAAGCCTCACAAAAAAGTGTTTAACATATGAGCTATAAGTGCAAAATAATGTAGGATATGTTTTTAAATTACATGTTATCTGTATTAAATTGAAATATGTAAATTGATGGTATACGATATTAAATATTTCAAAACACATGTTTTGTTTTATTATTTCATAATATATGCATTTATTTCTCTAATAAAGTTTTTTCGTGTTCTGTAAGAAATTCATTATTTTCTGTATAATTTTTATATAACTTGCCAAACGTTGCCTTAAGGCAAGATGCAGGAATTTTTTAATATGTGTAATTGATCGCTATGATCAATAGGAAGTGAGAATTAGCTCTTTAGATAAAATTATCATCTGTTTATGGTGAAAACAAACATTTCGCTTTCTTTAAGATCTAATTAATTTCCAATTACTTATATTAATCATAGTGCTGTATCGTGTTTAATTATATTAATCATAGTGCTGTATCGTGTTTAATTATATTAATCATAGTGCGTGCGTAACACGTGTTGTATCTCCTAAAAGCGCAGACCATTCTTCCAAACTTTATTGCCTTTTTATAACTTTAACACTTTTCGTAGGCCAATACTATAGGTTGTTTGTTTAGAGTATAAACCTTAAGTTCTAATAAAAGCACAAAAAAATTACACCTAGTTACGAAGAAACGGCTTTACCGATCTTCGTCAAAAAATGATCAGCACGATTCCCAAATGATATCTTTCGAAGAGCTTTTAAATTTTCAAAATAGGTTCAAGATTTTTTGCGAAGACGTGGACAGAAAATTTGACACTTCAGTTAATTCTAAACCAGCTCGGCCGATCATCTCGCAAAACTAACTAACGCGAGTTCTTTTCGGGTTTCTTCAAAAGCCTATCAAATGTTTGAAAACGGTTTGCCGTTTTTCAGCGAAAATTTCAACTTATCGACGTTTTTTTTTCAAGGATATCTATATAATTTATATAAATATATATATATATATATATATATATATATATGTGTGTGTGTGTGTGTGTGTGTGTGTGTGTGTGTGTGTATGTGTGTGTATTAGGGTGGCCCTTTATATGAACATTTTCGAATTTTATTGCTCCCAGGGGCTTAAATGCTTCCAAATTGATAAAAAATTCTCTAAAAGTTTTAGCTTTTAATATTAACTGTTAGATAGTGCGCAATTCAATCAAAGCTTCGTATGAAAATAGTATGGAACTAGTTGGTATTGGTATTTTGCCTTAAGGCAAGTTACATGAACTTCCTGAAATGTATAAATGATCGATTTAATTAATAAAAAATAAATTAACTTATGAGTGATTAAAAGTATTCCGAGTGGATTTATTACACATAACGAACACGTTAACTCGAAGTATTTTCTTAAAGCAAATTTTCAAAAATCAACCATTTTTATAATTGAACCAGAGTCCGTAGAGCTTTAATGATTTAGTATATTCATTAAGACCAAGTACTCTATTGTTATATCAAGTAAATCGTCTAATTTTAATTTTAACAAACGTCAAAAAAATATACTCATTTTCTCAAACTTTGATGAATTTTTAAAATTAAACTACTTGTCGTAAAGCTGTAATAATATTTCAGTAAGTTCTATAAGGCCATGATATATATCACCAAAAAAAGTTCCATAAAAATCGGCTTAAATTTCTTTTTCAACAGTTAATTACCAGAAAACGGTTCGGTAGATTCTCCTCTAAAACTAATCAGTATCATTCTCAACTAATATCTTTCGAAAAGTTTTTGATTTTTTAAAATCGATTCGGTAGTATGAGCTTAAATGTGTACGCAAGGTTTACCACTTTTTTCCAAATTACAAAGAAACGGCTTGGCAGATCGTCGCACAAAACTGGCGAACGATAGTCCCCATTGAGATACATCAAATGGCTTTTAAATTTCTGAAATCGGTTCAGGCGTTTTTGAGAAAATGTCGATCAACGGTCTAATTTTGACAAATGCCAAAAAAGGATACTAATTTTTTGCAAACTTTGACGAATTTTTAAAATTAAACGACTTGTCGTAGGGCCGTAATATTTTAGTATGATCTATAAGACTATGGTATCACCGTCAAAAAAACAATAATAAAAATCGTCGAAAAAAAATTTTTTAACACATTATTCCATGATGAGAACCACCCTAATATATATATATATATATATATATATATATATAAAACAACTAGTTGTAACGCAGTTTTATTTGGTTCGCAATTATTATTGAAAAAATGTAATTCTTAGAAATTTTAGTGACGCGTTTTATTAAATTGAATTCTAAATAGTTAGAATAGAAGTAATTATTATTAATTATTATTATTAAGTTAAAGATTTGGGATAATACAACTTGGCTTAATATATAAATATTATGGCATAATATTACAAATTAATTAGTGTTGTCTTATGTATTTATCAGTTGGGGATTGAATCCAAGCACGACGCAAACAAAAATGTGCAGGTACCGTTAACCATTATGGTCCGACATATTCCGAAATCGAATTCATACAAATATAAATTGTATTGAATCTAAAAATTTTAAACCTTCGAGACAGCTTAAAAAGCTACACAATGAAAGAATAAAAAAATAAAAAATAAAACGTCATGTCAACAAAAACATATATATTATTAAAATTCTATTATTATTTAATAATCTATATTACATACACAGAATACATTTAAATTAATATAAATATGTAATTACACTCATTATGTTATGTACATATATTTGGTATAAGTTTATTTATCAATAGTAAGCATTTATTACTATCTTACTATGTTCCTTATGACGGCTAAAATAATATGTGAATTAGAACTAAAATCGTTTAACTTATATATATATATATATATATATATATATATTTATATATATATATATATATATATATATATATATATATATATATATATATATATATATATATATATATATTTTGATATATTCACACCAGTGCAAGTGTTCAACAATAATTCTTTTGTTTTATCTCATAAAATGAAGCAAAAAATGAATACAAAAAGTGTTAGATACATTTAGTTAAGTATTTACATATTAAATACATGTAATGTTTTCCTCTGCTTGTAATGTTCAATATGGCACTTTCGAGCCTAAATTTCATAACTGTTCGTAAACAATACATACACGCACATATATAACATATATGTAAATATATATATATATATATATATATATATATATATATATATAAGATGCAACAAGTAATAATGACAAAGTGGCTGCAACTTATATGCTAATTGCATTATTTTATTTCTTATTCGTTTTTATTCTCATATTGAATTGTGTTTCAAAATATAACATTCAACTTCTGAAGCAAGAACTTACAATAATTTGATTTTTTTGTTTAATTTGATTTATATGTGTTGCTTGCAAATTTCCAATTGATGATATATTATTTAAATATTTTCACATAGTATTATTGCGTCATTTAATATTATTATGGAAAAGGAATTTTTTCGTCATTTTTACTTGATCAAATTTTATACATATTTATATACACATATATGATGTGTGTGTATCTTCTATTTAACTTTATTATTATATATGTTCGAGGTAAACAAATCAATGCATAATAAATTAATAATGTAATGAAGGTTAATAATAAAATATATATGAGCATGGTATTAAGTTTTTTATACATTAAAATAATATAAATAGTGTGATGTAAAAGGTATTTTAAAAGTTTTGATTAAAACTTTTGTATCACAATATTGAATTGAAATAAACATATTGCAATATCAAGAGTATCATTTATTTCAATTCATTAATAAAAAAAATTCAAAATTAATTTTAATTCCGACAGAAAACATGACAATTTAATATAATCACAAAACAGTGATGAAAATAAGGATGAATAATTAATTAATTTTCTGAAAATATTAAAATTTTACCATTTTTCTGTATTATAATATTACAATGACAAAATATTTATTATTTCTATCTAACATTACGTTTATCTTGACAAGTATTGTAAGTATATCACAAGTAACTTTACAACCCAATGTTGCAATAATAAATGAATAAAAATAAGTAATATCAAAATAAAGTCGCTATGATACAAACATTATATAAAAAATATGTATATAATCTCATTTAAGTTTTAGTATTTTGCATACCATAATGAATCAATGTACAAGATTTAAATCATTAAAATCGTAACAATTCGAAAAGTGTTAAGCAGTTTGCTCAAAATGTTACTGCTTCAATTCAATCCTCATTTAGAAACAAAATATCTGACAATTTTATGATTTGAGTTGAGAAACAGAACCAATCCCTCTGTTAAAAAACTGATACAAAATTTTGTATACATATTATATGACCAGCAAGCAAATCATTGATCATAACCAAAATGTTTTTATAAAATAAGGTAATAATTAATTTTATATTCATTTCATTACACACACGTATAGATTAGAAAGTTCATCTAAATCACTATTGCAATCAATTTTCTTTATTTAATTATGCTACGAGGACAAGTTAACGAATTAACATTTTATTTGTATTATTCTATTTAATATTTGTTAGTAAATATGGAATTGTAACTATATCGAATGGCAATGGTTAGTAAAACTGTTTTAATCGTTATTATGTGAAATTAGTTAATTTTAATCATAATATAAATTGATGAAACACAATTTCAAGTAGTGTACAAAAAAAAAATATTTTAGTTATAATTTTTTTACGAATACAGCAGCAAATTTGAAGTTGGTACCAAAAATACTTTGTAACTGATGGACTAATAAACCAAAATTTATAAATGCATATTGAATTGATTTAACAAATTAATGTCTAACTTTTACTTTTTTCTATAAATTTGTGTATAACTGATATAAGTTTATCAGATTATTATTATCACACAAGGAGTGTTTTAATATTGTATGCAATATTTATGTTAATATAATGCTATCACTCCCTACATAACTTTGTGCTAAAAGAGCGATATAATATTTTCAAAATATGCCTGAATTTAGTTTCTTATTAGGGACAACATTAGTTCCGAAAGATTGAGTGTAGGTGGAAAATGGAATATTTTTATCTTAATGTCGAATCTTGCTTTTCAAATCATGCCACCAATAATATACAAAATATAAACTTGCAACTTGTTAGAAAAAAAATTCCAACTAAACAGTACACTAATTTAATTAAAAATTTGAGAATTATAGAAGAAAAAAAAGCAATCAGCGTTAATGTAAACGATGGGTTGTTTCAGCTCGGTTCGGCTTTATTTAAATATTTTTATTAACTAAAAAAACTTGATTTATTAATCTGAATGATTATAAGTAAAGTATTTGATGAATTTAGCTAAATTTTACCTTGACAAATCTTAATAATAATATTACTGAAATCTATAATATTTTTTAGGTTTATTATATTCGGTAAAGGATGATAAAAATAATAAACTTGAAGAAGTAGTTACAGACAAATTTACTGGATGTTTAGGGAAGATGACTTTTAAATTGATTTCAGAACAGTCAACAAGCGGTCAGGTAGTTCTAGTTTTGATAAAAATATTTAAATAAAGAAAGTTGTATATATGTAATTCTCTTATATATATACAGGGTGTCCCAGAACTGAGTCAAGCCAAAAGCCAAAATGAGGTGATAGTATTGATAGTAACTGTAATGAAAAAAGTTTGAAAAAAAAATTTATTTCACGCATTTTATAATCCTGACAAAGCCAATTTTGAAGATTTTAAATTCATAGTTTAACAAAAATCTTAATTCTTGAAAATCAGGGACAATTGTGTAATTATTTTGACTGTGATCCTATAACTGTTATTTGCGATTACGGATCCAAAGTTTAAATGAACAAAATTAATAAAAATTAATTAACTACAATAACTAAAAAATGATCATTCACAAAAGCTCTAGGTTGTACTGAAAATAAGGTGAGATAATAATTATTCTAATTTTTTTTTTCATGACAATTACAATCAATATGGCCACCCTATTTCAGCTTGACTTGAGTTCTGGAACACCATGTATATATATACATACATATATATATATATATATATATATATATATATAATATATATATATATATACATATATATATATATATATATATATACATATATATATATATATATATACAGTAGGCCCTCGCTTTACACGGCACTCTGGGTACACGGTTCCCATACTACACGGAGCTAAAAATCCGACATCCCTCCGACTACACGGACTTCTTATTACACGGTATTTAGTCAACAGCCCATAAGTTCGTTGTGCAAAAGGGTATTGTTGTAAATTTTGTTATCGACTTTTATCTTTTAGACATGCCTGATTGTATAATAGCCGCCTAAGAACACGTTTGAGCTGACTACTGCGTCGCGCCAATTTTTGAATAAGGTGTCAATGTCCTTCATGTCATTTCGTCCGTATTTCTCCTACTTCAAGTTGTATTTCTTGGTCTCCATACAACGCGATAAAAATGGTGCGATTTGTACCAACTCTGAGTCTCTCACAGCACGGTTCCCATACTGCACTATGTAAGGTTCCATAGAACGCACTACGAATTAGCCTGAATTGTATGTTAAATACGAGTTTCTTATAGCACGGTTCCTATACTGCACGGTACGCACTTGCCGCGTAAAGCGAGGGTTTACTGTATACATATATATATATATATATGTAATAATTTAAGTAACTAATTATGACCCAAGTGACTGTCAGCAATGTGCAATCATTTCCAAACAAGTTACTATGCCAAGATACTATGACCTAATCAGCAAACAAATGCAACTCCAATTCAATAAGCAAATACATAATATAAGCTTAATGCTGATAGGTATAATTATTGCTTAATACAATTTGAATATATTATCTATTCTTAGCAGCAATTCTTGCAAGATATTATGTGATTTAAATCTCCATCAAAACAAAAGTATATGGTATCTATGAAAGGCATCAAATCTTAATATTGTTATCATAAAAGGTATTAAATAACAATATACATTACCACTGTATCATTTAGAAAATGAATGTGAGTATTTTGTAAGACTTAAAATATCTGCAAATCACAAAATAGTCTCTAAAATGTTTCTAGAGTAACATCTTATTTTTCAATGATCCATTTAATTTCAATGTATTGAAAAAATTTTCAATAATAAATGAGTTATTTGAAAATTGGCTCACATACATAAAATAGGTTAAGTTTAATATCTTGCAAGTATCAATAGAGAAGTGATTTTGAAATGTTTACACACCTGACCTTCAGATAAAACAAGATTACAGCATATCACATCACAAATTATCAAATAAAATTTTCAAAAGAATAATACCATTATTTCGATCCTACATTTACACCTGAGTTGTGCGTGACGATTTTCTCTCCCTCTTCTGTTGATTATCTGCAGGTCCATTGTATTGGAAATGCTGCATAGATTTGTTCGAATGTTGAGCGGTGGCCAGATTTATTAATGGTAAAGTTTGCATTGTATGCAACATTTGTTGTTGCAGCATGCTTGTGGGTTGCTGAGGAATCACATTGTACATAACATTCTGTTGATGTTGCTGATGCTGCTGCCTGTGAGAGTTGTTTGTGAAGGAGAGCGACATGCCACTATCGAGAGAACCCACTGAACCTCTCCTTTGCTTGTGGGAGTCATTGACTGGAAAGTAATTAAAAATGTAATAAACATATAAATGATTCACACACACACACATATATATATACATACATATATATATATATATATATATATATATATATATATATATGTTAGATGGTAGGGCCTTGGATTTGTGAATGTTTTGTAGAGCTTCAAACAAAGAATCCAAAAAAAAAATAAGAAAACAAAAAAGTTTTTTTAAAAAACCATTATTTTATTTATTTACTGTCAACGTTTCGGAACTAGCTATGTTTCATCTTCAGGACATCTGTCAAGAAACATGATCTTGATAAGATCTTGATGATCTGCATTTTATAAATTTCTTTTCAGACAAAGAAACAAATCTTGTAATTCAAGATTTCTTTAAATTATGTCTTTTTTGAGTTTATTGGCACAATTTTAAGACATAATTCAAAGAAATTCTGAATCACAAAATTTCTTTCTTCGCCTGAAAAGAAATTTATAAAATCACTTTTTTTGATCAAATATTTTTTAGTGAAAAAGTATTAGTGTATAATCAATCATACAGGAAATTAATTCTGTTTCTGTATGTCGGGATACAGGTAATTAATTCTGTTTTTATATGTTGGGATACCACTGTATTTGTTTTCAGCATAAAAAAATGGCACAAAATGTTAAGATATATTGAACATTATCGTCATGCACAACTCTATAATGACTTGATAGTGTTAATTTTTGTTATTAAATTATTTCAATCAAATTAATCTACAACCTTTATCTCATATACAATAAATGACATTAGTAATTATCAACTATTAAAATTATTTTAATTGAAGGTAGATTTGTTGGTATATTATTTTAATAAATATTTATGAATTGGTTCTACAACAAATTTAGTTAATTATAATAAATAAAATAGAATAGTTCAGAAAATAATAAAATTTAAAAAAAAACTGAATAATTACAGAGAAACAGGTTTTTTGCCACATGTTAAAATTGTTATCCGAACTTAAAGTTAACAATAGTCACCATTCTATAATTTTGTATACCTATACACTATAATTTTGAAATTCTAGAGACAAAAATTGTAATAAAAAAAATCAGTTAGTTTCTGAATTAATAGAGTTTTATGTATATTTTCAATTTGCAAATTATATATTTTTTGTTTATAATTTGTTTAAACAACCACAGCATAAATATGTTTTGATATAAAATAGTGTATAATTTAAGAGCCAATTATATGTAGAGAATATTATACATAAATTTTGTTCCCATTTTATAATAAATTTTGATATACCCTTATAAATTTTGTCTGGATTCCATATAGATGAAAAATTACATTTTGAATTGAGATACACAAAAAATGTGTAAAAACCTGTTTTTCCGTAATTTTAGTCCATAAGTTCATTATTGGGTTAAATAATTAAATTGACTAATAAGTTTATACTAACATTGTTCATGCATATCTAAGAGAGAGTTGCTTAGAGCAGATCTCTTGAGCTGTTGGTCATTATAAACTAAATTGTTCCCAAATTGATTTGTATTATTGGAATTGGTCATAACGACTGGCTGACAATTACACGCAGCATGATTATGGCCAACGTTTGTTTGGCAGTTGCACAAATCTGCAACACCACTGTCACGATTTGGTTCAGTTCCTGAAAATTCAAATCCCCATATAAAAACAAATATTTGACTCTATTCTTGACATATTTTACATATTCATTAAATTTTCTTTGTATGATTTCATATTTTATTTGATACTTTTTTTTTCAAAGAAGAAAGAATAATATTTGTTGTTTACAGCCTTTCACTTTGAAAGTATTCGAAATACTAGACAAAACTCGAAATTTATTATCTTAAACTATTTGCCGGTATCATAAGATAATATATGCCCATTCATATTTTGTTAAGTTTCTCATTGTGATTTATATCAGTGTTATCATAGTAACACTACGGTTTTACTAAATTCAACTTAGTTTGCAACATTTCATAAACAACTTTTAATCAAATGTGATATAAATTATATATGCATTTTACTTATTCCTTGTAAATTAGGACTATGTTAGTATACCAAGTTCTGAACCAATTTTGCAATGCTAAAATCTATATTTATCAAGACCAATAAAGATAGTTTTCAATTATATCCAAAACATTCAAAATACTGTCAAAGGTAGGAGTATTTTATTATAACTAGATAAATTAAAATGTTAATCAACTCTATTAAAAGCTACAAAATATTGATATACAATTTTACAAAAAAAATGTGCCTTGTTCTTGTGTATATTCATTCATAACTATTTTGATTGCTTTATGAAAATTTAATGTTAATTGTGTTAAAATACTGATTACAAATCAAACAACCCCCTTAAACCCATTACCACATATATCTAACTATTTCAAATATACAATAATATATAATCATGCTTACCATTACGATTGCTTCTTTTTTGTCTTTCTAGTTCGTTTTCAATCCTTATATTTTCCATTTCATTCATTTCTAATATAGATTCTTTCAAATCATCAGCAAATTTTATTCTATCATGCTCATTGCGAGCATTAAAAATTATTAAAACTTTTCCATCAACTCGCTGCGTTAGTTTTATTCCAAATGGGTAATCTAAAAAAAATATTTATGTAAATAAAGACAATTAAAATGATTAAAATAGTTTATTATATTTGCAAGTGAATAGTATATAGTCTCTAGTGAGACATGAATATAAATGTGTCATTACAAGACACAAGTGTCAATAACCTAGAAACATTACTATCAAATATCAGATAAAAAAAAAAAAAATTGAACTTACGAATTGTTTCAAATAACGAAACATTGATACCACTTAAAGGTAAACTATTTCTAAATGTATAGGAAACACAATTCTTTTTCTTGGAAAGAATTTTAGTAATTACTAGTAGATCATTAAATAAGAAAACTTCTCTTTGGTGTACCTAAAAAATACAATTAATTATTATAAGTTCAATATTAAATCCAGTATAATAATATTAATTTTTATTTCACTTACTCCAATACGTTCTTTTTTATTCAGATCAGGAATTTCATACAAGCGACAATAACAAACTAATCTGCGATGGCTGAGTGCTAAATTAGGTTTATTTCCTACTATTGTTTGTTGAACTTTCATCACCTGCAAATAATTTTTTTTATAAAAATGAAGTCAACTATGTTAACATACTACAAATAGCTCAAAAAAAAAAAAATAATGGAAACACTCACTAAACCCTAAATACATTTAAAAAAATCTCACCTGTGTAACATGATCTGAACTGCATTTGAATTCATTAGCTTTTACTCGCTCATATATTCCAGTTAACATATTTCGATCTATATTCCTTCCATTATCAATATTTCTTAAATTCTTAATAAAATCTTCAAGCTTCATTCGCTTCTCAGGCTTCAAATTAGGTGTGTGCAGATCAGTGTTCAGCATTATTATGGCAAAACTCAAAATAAATATAGTATCGGCATTTTGAAATTTATTCACTAAATCCAAATTGCAAGCTATGTATCGTTTACTAAAGACTTCAATAATTTTTTCTATTTTTTGAGCTTCTCCTGGTATTCTGAAGAAACTCATAAACCTTCGTAAGGCATTATCCAATTCCATATTAGTAAAATCTAAATGGTTTGAAAAGTCTATCAAAACTTTTTGACTTAGAGGATTTTGCAGATCTCCTAAAAATTCTCCTATGATCTTTTTGCTTAGTCCTTTGCGAGTGATCAAAAACTTGGCAATTGCATATGAAGAATTTTCTAAAAACTGCTTTTGAATAAGGTATTGAATGCCTTTATCAGGTTTTTTATTAAATAGATTTAAACCAACTCTATATTGTCTCTTGCGAATAGTTTCATTAGTTTTATAGTTTTGTGTGCTTGGTGCTGCATTAACAGTTATAGCTACGATAAGGATAAAGCCAGTAAATATTGGTAATAAAATATATATATTTATTCAGTTCATAGATAATCTGATAGTTACCGGGTTGAATATTGTAGTCATTTGTTGATACTTGCTCTATTTTTTTCCAAACAGGAGATGAAGAACCTCTAAAAAATGAGAAAGATTATAGATTAAAAACAGTATCGAAATGCTAATAGCAACAAAAATAATATTTATTTATCTTTTATTATTTCTTTAATTTAATAACTCACCTTTCATAATTTTCATAGTGTATTGAGTTATCACTTCCGGATGACTGAACGCTGCAGACTGACCCGTTTTCTATATAGTTCGGCCTATATTGAGTGTACTCGCACAGATTGCTCATGTTGATTTGTGGACCATGACTGTATCCCGTTCTACCATTCGGATCCAAACAGTTTTGCTGTTGCAATTGCATTTCTCCTGCATTAGTTCTAACCAGAGAATTCTCGCTGAGCGTTGGTCTCATCATTTGCACATTGTCGGAATATGCCGACCGACTGAGTACGGAACCGGGGCTGGTCTGATGCTGGTCGTAGTTGCTGTGCATCTGATCGTAGCCCTGATGTCGTCCGTCTAACATATGCGGTTTGCATGATCGATTCGAAATTGATGAGGTGCGTTTTGGAACCTCCGGAGGTATTTTCTTGCGAGAGCCACTCAGTTCGCCGCGCATCTGGTAAAATATAGGATAATTAATAATTAGTGATAAAAAATGAGACACTTAAGCTTTTGGTCCTAAAGGTAAATCAAGGGTCTTAAAATTATCATTGAAATCGTAAAGTCACTTTCTTGAGTGAGCAATGAATAATGATCAGAGTGTAATTATAAAAATGCTACGTGCTAAAAATAATTGTTGTAAAATATAAAACGCCGAGCATCGGATCAAGAATTCAAATAATTTATTGCTAAAATTATAGCATTTCTTATCTACTGGGAATGATATTTAGTGTCTCATACAAAAAGTTGTTTAATTTAATTGATATTCTTATCATTTCTTTAATTAGTCGTTAAAAACAACACAATATTTTGATTGATACTTACGTAAAGGTCATATTCGTAATGCAGGATATTTACATGCGGATGTGATGAATTGTTGGAAATTTCTAAACTTGAGTTCATATCTGCACTTGAATCTAAGTGATTATTTTTAACTATATAAGTCCTATTGCTTTCTCTTAATGACATAGATCTACTAGGTAATCTTTGAACGCTGAAAAAACAAAAACAAATAAAAAAATGTTCGCAAATAATTAAAATGTATCAACATTAAACTGCATACTTCTTTTGATCCGCATACTTTTTATCTTGTTGCGCCATAGTCGTGATGTATGTAAATTTTTTAATAAGTGTATATCTACGGAAAGCTCTGAAAAGTAATAAAAATATGTATTAACCATATAATTAAAAAAAAAATAATATCCTAAAACATACCTCTGTATAACCAGAGCAGCATTGCGGGCCTTATCGCCTCCATATTTTCTTTCCAGAAGTTCAATTTGTTTATCCAATAAATATTGCGATAATTCATACCTAAAATAAAGAATTTTGATAACTTCTGAAACCATATCATCAACATTGTCATTGTAAAATAATTTCAATGATATCGTTCACACATACTGATATTTTTGTTAAAATTGCATAAAAGCACGTGCGCGCACACACATATCAATAGATTTAATTTTAATTCATGTTGAATGAAATATTTAACGAAATATATCTCAGTATTCCATTATTTTTAGTTACACAAAATTGTTAAAAATAATGTTTATAATTATAATATTCACCAAACACTTGTAAATACCAGATGCGGATTTAAAAGTTTAAATCTAGTAATTTTAATCCTGACTCTCGTAGGTCAGAAAGACCAAAACATCAGAGAAAGACTAAAGGATACAAGTAAATGTAAATTCTTGTCGTCAATCAAGCAATTATTAGTTTTAGTTTTAACCAATTTCAGTATATCATCGAATCAAATATATTAACTATATCAGTAGAAGCAAGTATCATAAAATCATATATATTATATCAATATAGATAGAAAAATATTTGCCGCGGAAAGAAAGCAGAGCAAATCCTTCATGTTCGAATTGTAGTTTAGACTTACTTTCGCAAAAAGTACCCAAAATAACTTGAAATATATAATAAAAATAAATATGTAATGTGTAATAAAAAGTAAAACATGCAATATGCAAGAAGAAGTAAATATACAAGTTTTGTTTTGTTGAATAGCAATGGGAACTAGTTTTTTTCTAGGATTATCAGTTTTATAAACTTTATCAGAATGCAATACAATTATTTTCATAAGACATTCTAATTATGATATTGCAGCAATGCCCCTAAAGGCTATTTCGCTTGCAATCATATTTTCAAGTAGAACTGGTGCAATTACTGTTTGATATCAGAGTGCCCGAAAACCAGGACCAAACCCGGAACTATGAAAGGCGCTATGAAAATATGAATGAATATGAAAAATGTGAGAAAAATAAATGTGTTATATTATTAAACATTAATTATTATTAATAAACATTAATAAACAAAGCCATTTACAGTTTGGGCGAGTATACTAAACCAATGCTTTATTATCGGATTTTCAAATGCTTCATTAATCATGTAACACATTCTTATAAATATGGGAAGTTTAATATTGTATTACACGAAGATTAAAGTGCATCGCATTAATATTACTTCTTATATAACCAACCCAGTGAGTGGTCAAATGTATGTGATGTAATGTATTTCTGATCGTTTCGCATCGGAACGAATAATAAACAACTTATAGAGTGTGTACACAATGTAAGAAGTGAATGGCATATGGCGACAATTTATGAAATAGATACTTTACGAATTAAAATTTGTATAGTAACTTATAGAAATATAGAACGCTGGAAAGTAGAGATCAGGGTGCACACCTAACGAGTAATGCAAGCGTTTTTTCAGAGCAATAATTGCGCCTTAAGACAACTAAGAAATTGGTTGAAAATACAACAATGAAAATAATTTAGCATTTGTCAAAAATTGTTTCTATAGAATGCTCTCAATTTTGCATAAATATTTAATTAAAATTGATGTTTAAATTTACGGTTTTAAAGAACGCACATGTGCGATGGAAATATAATGTGGGTAACATTCATGATCATCATCAGGATAGGAGGACATAAGAACTTTGACACAAAGCATAATTTTTGTTATTAATTACTCATTATATCAATTCAAAATATCTTGGTTTTATAATTTATAATTTGCATAATGATTTTCTTCGAGAATAATATGATTCTGCAAATGAAGGCTAAATAGATTGTTACATCGATTAACATATAATGAACGTTAGAACGAGTTATAGTAATCGCAAAAAAATCGAAAATGAAATTTTTTATATATCTTTACGTTTCAAAGGTTTCTGAATATTTTGGCATACCTTAGAAAAAATGGATGTATGTGTGTGTGTGTGTGTGTGTGTGTGTGCGGATACAAATTTTCGTCGACGATTCGGGAACGCCGATCAACCGATTTGAATAATTCAAAAAGCATTCGATTCGTATTGACAAGGTGACATGCTGATTAGTTTTTAGCGAAGGCAGGTCTAGCCAATCCGAAGATACGGGGCAAAAAGTGCCAAAAATGATAACTCATTTTTTAAGAGAACGGAGCGTCCGATTTTAATAATTCAAAAAACATTTTACTTGATTGACAAGATGAAGAACTGACTGAACTGAAGCAGTTTCGGAGATCTAATGAAAAAAGTAAAAAAAAAGCCATTTGGCGGTCAAAAATGATCATTAGACATATGCACATCAAATTACCAGATATTTTATAGAGATTTTAACAATAAGTATAAATTTTGTTTACATAAACAACATAAAAGATATATAGATTGAAAGCTCATTTTATAAACATTGTCATGTCATGATGCTAAAACTCACTATTGAACCAATTACGTGTAAAATAATTATGAAAAATATTGTCAACTCATTCGTTTCCTCTTTCCACAACACTGCAAAAATTAATCGGTATAGTTTCAAACTTTATTTAACTACATCAATGTCAATATTGACAAAAAGTGCGGATACATCATACATCAACTTCCTATCAATGAAATGAACTATGTGTTAATGTTTTCATTTATTTCTGGGAATGTCCATTGTTCTCAAGTTTAACTATTTTGTATATCTAATACTTCTACATAAGAAATATTTTTTAAACATTAAAGCCTCCACCAAAATTATTCGTTGATGCTCATTTATTATGCAAATTAGCAATGAATTATTTATTTAAAAACCTAAAAGTTATATGAATTATAAAAATTAGATTAAAACTATGAACACCACAGATCTCTATATCGTCCAGCCGTACTATTTATGGTGTGTGTTTGTATTACTCGCAGTCTAAAAAAATCATAGTATAATGAATAAATGTCAATTAACAAACAATCATTTATGAGTCGGACACAAAAGCAAAACATAAACATGAGTCTCGTTTCTCGTTGACATGTTTCAGTGACGGCTCGTTACTCATCCGAAATACTTGCTGGCCTCGCCCTACTTCCGTCGGATATAAAAGGATTATGGAGAATTTTAATAACTGTAATTGAATCACGCAATTATATTAAACAGTCAAGATTCTAAAAAAGAAACGGGTACCTCAGCATAAAATATGGTATGGCACGTGCCAATGGTATACATTGTCGCTAATTTATTCGATTTTAATAATACAATAAATCAAGTACCAGAAAAGGATGGCTATTGCAAAGTTCTACGAACACGTTTTAATTTCAGTTTGCAATCACTATTTTATTATAGAAAATTTTCCATCATTTGAAAATATTTGCGGCCTACTTCCCGTAGGGTAAGTTATAGTAATCGACTAAAAATCGAAAATGAAAATGTTTACATATCTTTACGTTTCAAAAGTTTTTGAGCCTTTTAGCATACCTGAAGCAATAGATATAGATATAGTATAGATACAATTTTTCGTACACGATTTCGGGCGCACAGATCAACCGATTTGAATTATTCAAAAAACATTCGATTCCTATTGATAGAGTGACATGCTAATTAGTTTCTGGCAAAGACAGGTCCAGCCGCTTCGGAGATACGGAGCATAAAAGGCAAAAAATGGGAAATCGATTTTTGCAAGAACAGAGCATCCAATTATATAAATTCAAAATATGTATAATCTATTTGTGTTGACGGCGTGACGGGCTGGTTAGTTTTTGGCAAAAACAGGACTAACCGTTTGGTTAAGATATAGAGCAAAAAGTACCAAAAAACAGAGATTTTGAGAAAATGGAGCAACCAATTCGAAAAAATCAACAGACATTTTGCTTGTGTTGTGAGTGTAAAGTAAGGATTAGTTTTTGGGGAAGATAAATTTGTTTCTTAATTTCAAAATTAAAAAAAAATATTTCCGAAAAATATATGTTTTTAAATGACGAAAATGATTCCGATTTTAATGTTAAGTCTAGCTAAAATTCTAAAGCTCGCATATATACTCAAAATAAATAATTTTATTTTTACAATGTAGTTTATATATTCTGACTACTCTTGATTAAGTTTTGTTTATTTACTTTTTATGAAAACATATATAAACGTCGTTATCTCATTTATAAGCTCTTATATTTTGTCTATAACATACAAATAATGAAAGCTACAGTATTTATAATAATCTATTTGAAAACATTTAAAATTCCAGCAATTGCCATAAGGCACGATGCCATGTACCACAAGATTATCTTTATGTTATTAGATAAACCGGTTATCTAGAGATAATGTACTCAATATTTTGGCAGCAACTTTGTTCAAATTGACATGAGCAAAACCGTAAAGTTTTATCATAATTATTATTTATGTATACATATAGATTGATTAATTGATATTAAAACATATATTTAAATTATATATATTTACATGCAAATTTTAAAATGCAAAACAAAAAACAATTCTATTATATTAAAGGCAATTATATATATATATATATATATATATATATATATATATATATATATTAAACGAATTCTAAGAAAGTAGATTTTTTGTCGTGCACATAATACTGGATAGTCTTTGAAGAAATATCTGACCAGTTTGAAATTTTGTACGACAGCAATTGGTAGTAAAAATAATTTGTGGTGTGCCACCAATTTTATATCTCTCTCCTATTAAACAATTGATAAATACATATTTTTTATAAGTAAAAAATGATGAAACCGATGAAACATCACTGTGAATTTTATAACAATACACTTAAAATATGACACTTATATTTGTTAAAATTTCATACTATTCTTATATAGATCTTATATATTATTTTCAGACGTCTAAAATTTGATATAGGTAACGATGGACATATATTTCAAAAAACCAAAATAATCGAAATGTGACTCAAATGAAAATAATGAATAATCAACAGTTGAAATGTTTTTCTTTTTGTTGCGATGATTATTTAAATACTTTATGATATGTGATATATCTTATCTGAAAAATATTGTATGATATCACCTTGTAGAAGGTATGAAATCAAAAGTGATATTATTCAATGTGCACCTGAGAAATAGAAAGAATTTAAAATAAAAATAAAAAAGCTTCTATATTCACTTAATAAATAAATAAATGAATATCATAATGAATATTAACAACTTCTTGTATTTCTTAATTATGTGTGGTGGTTGTCAATATTATCAAATAATTTTTCACGACAAATTCAATAAAACTTACGGCCTTTGACAAAATTCTAGAACAAATGAGCTAAGAGCATGTCCAGAACGGAACTGTAAAAAATGTGTAATTTTCATGATCATTTTTTTTATTTTAGTAAAAATCTAGTTATATTCGATTAATACATGTACTTCACGAATATTGTTTTTTGAAACTATTTTCACTTAAAAAGTACTTTTTTCAATAAGGGTAGTTTGAAAAAAGGGGCCACTTTGACTATGAATGATTTTTCAAAAAGACCTATAAAATTACATGTAAATCGTTAAACAATAGGTTATAGTGCCCTAACTTAGGGCAAATTCTGTATGGAAACACGGTTTTATATTTTATTAATTTTTTATTTCATACATTTATACACCATATTCATGTGTTGCAAAATATATCCCTTACAGTTTTAAAACTGTGCAGAAATATTCAAAATTATGTGAAGTAAAGTGAAAATCTTGAAATATTTTTTACGGTTGAATTCAATAAAGTTTATGGTAGACAACAAAATTCTAATGAATATAGGTGTGTTTTTCCATAGATGTATGTATTTCAATTTCAAGTAACAGATGAGTGAAAGTCGATGTTAGGTGGGTTCTTCCTACTAGATTGTCGGGTTTCTGAATGCAAAATGCACCAGAGCGGTAGGCCCAAGGCCACAATAAGTAATAATGTGCAACACTTGTAATTATGTTATATTCACGTACACACACAGATATATATATATATATATATATATATACACACACACACTATATATATATATATATATATATATATATATATATATATATAATACGACCAGGTGCAGTCAGAAATTAAAGTGATCAGAAATACTGATATTAATAAATGCTAGTTTGGAAAATCCGATTTTCAATTATGTCTTCGTCATGATATGACCTTGGAGTGCAATAATGTTTTCAGCTATTTGGCAATAAATTAGGATGAAATAAAGACTGCGTCGCTAAACTTATTCTGATAATTCAATCAATATATTTTCATTCATATACTAAAAATAATAAAATGTTATTGCTTATACTTACGCGTTCAAAATGCGGCTCCTCTTCATTCCGTCGGAATTATAAATGGAAGACTTCTTGTAGAGAATTTGGCTCTTGGAGACATTATGGCAGAGTCCGGTCATGGGTTCGTAACTGTTATTGCTATAATCGTGC